CACATAGTAAGTGGTGCACTTTTATTCAAATCGCTGTTCAGCCCACCCCCCCCCCCCATGCACACACCCACCCCCACACACCCACACACACCCACATACACGCGTGCTCTCACCTCACCCAAAAAAAACACAGCAAATTGATTTTTTTTTTAGTGGTACAACAATCTTACAAATACCAAAACACTAACCGACTTGCCCAAAGCTATTCTTTTTCTTGCTCAGTGGAAAACCTACGCTTAAATGAGCACGGACCTGCCCAGTCTGGCAAGGCTCCTTGCAACATCCTACGCCGCAGTGTGTTTGTTGCAAACTGGCCCCAAAACTTGTGATATCTTGCCCGAAACCTCAAATTGCACATCGATGGTGCACGTATACCATGTCTTCAGGAACCTCATGTCGCTGCGAACACAGCTGTTCACAGAGCTCCAGAGATACAAAATTCCCCCACTCAGACCATTTTTTTTCAATCTTCAAAAATATTTTGGGAAAATTCTTAAATCCACTGTGTGTGTGTGTCAGCCTGGCTGTGTTGTTAACGCTCTCACCTCTGGCTCACAGAGCTACCTGATCCCCCTTCCTACCCCTCTCCTCTCTGCCTTGTACACCTCCTGATCCCAACCACCAGCTCAGGTGCAGATGATGATGTTGTTGTTACTATCCAACTACATGGATGAGATAGAACATGTTGGGTGGGACGACAGTTGAACGAGATCCAGAGGTGTCGGTTATTTGGAGCTCACTATGTCAAAACAGTGTATAAAGAAAACAGGAAGCTGGGCTAGATTGCTAAACTGTTGACGTTAGCTGCCCAGATATTATTCTCAGGCTGTACAGTCTGCACTTTGAATACTGCACAAAGTGCGGGTCAAAGCCTAGCGGATATGCAGAGGGGAACAACGACGATGTTCCCCGATCTTAGAGGAATGAGGTATGAGCTACGGTCAGACAAGCTGGGGCTCTGCAGTCTAGAGAGAAGATGGGACACAGATGGGACCTCATAGAGCTGTGGAGACCTGCAGCACAGTTAGAGCGCTCGCCTCTCAAGCGAGAGGACCCGGGTTCGATTCCCAGGCAGGACGAAACCTTGGGCAAGTTTCCTTACTCCACAGGCCAGTTGTAGGTCGATTGGCAGATCGCTTTTTGGGCAGTAATAATTCCTTTGAAAATATATTTAGAAAAAATAATAATTTGGTCACTCAACTCAATCCACGAGTGTTTGTGGGAATTGACTGCTGTGTTTCGTCCACAAAATATACAGTCAATTCACTTGACAGTTTATTCTGTGAAGCGCTTTGATTTGTCTCGAAGACGTGATAATGCGCTGTATCAAATACAAGAATTATTATTACAAAATTCTACATGGGATTGAATATGAAGATTATATATCTCTGTCTAGAGGAATAGAGTAATGAAATACAGAAGTGACATGTAATTTATATAAAACCTTAGTCAAACCACATTTTCCAGTTCGTGTAAGATTTGCTTGCTATATTACAGGGAGGATAGTTTAGAAATGGAAAGGTAAGGCGTCATATCGAAAGCAAGAATTATTATTATTATTCTATAACTCTGTCTGTCCAGTGCCCTGGGACGTCCTCCTGACGTGAAAGGCACTTTACAAATGTAACTTTGTTGTCGTTATTGTTGAATTGACTGTATATTTTGTGGATGAAACGCGGCAGCCAATTACGCACAGCAGCGTCCCACAAACAGATGGGACGTTTCCGCTTGTTTTTGAGTCCAGACCGAGTGGGTCTAAATATAAGCTACAACAATAACTTATACAGCGCCTTCCACGGCAGCGTCTCAGAGCGCTTAAAATGGCGGAGCCTGTCTCCGAGCTGGTGGGGTGGGGAGGGAGGTGGCGGTAAGCGCGGTTGAAGAGGAAGGTTTTTCAGGCGGGACTTGAAAGAGGAGAGTGGGGGGGGGGGGGGGGCAAGGCGGAGAGATTGAGGGAGAGCGTTTCAGAGTTTTGGAGCGTAGGGGCTGATGTTGGGATGGGGGCTGTGAGGGACGGGCAGGAGGCCGGTGCCAGTCGAGCGGAGGCGACGGGTGGTGGAGTGAGGAGGTGCCAGGCAGTGAAGCTATCTCAGATACAAGCACAGATCTAACAGTAGAGCTTAGGAGAAACTTCTTCACGCAGAGGATGGTGAGAACATAGAACTCGCTGCCCCGAAGCAAAAGCATCAATGTAATTAAAAGGAAAATTGATGCTTTCATAGTCAGCTTGGCTCAATCAGTCAGCAACACTCTGGCTCCTGAGTCAGAAGGTTGTGGGTTCAAGCCCCAGGCAGGGACTTTGAACTCAGACTCTAGTCAAACCCTCCAGTGCATCACTGGGGGAGCGTTCCATTATCAGAGATGCCATCCTTTGGATGAGACATTAAACCCTCCTGATTCTCATTGCCTAATATTAACACACATTACATTACATTTTGCTTCACGGTGAATTGTGTGGTGACTGTGTTCTGTGACTTTTGGGGGAAAATATTGCGGCCAATTTATACATGGCACACACAGCCTCACAGCAATTGAAAATGTGTCTGTGTGGAATCATTGGCCAGGGGGTGGGAAGAAATATCTCTTTTTGAATCGTGCCTTGGGATCTTTAGCGTTGACCTGAACAGGTAGATGGGACCTCAGTTTGTCTCATCTGAAGGATAGCACTTTGGACAATGTGCTCCCTCCAACACTGTACTGCAGTGTCAGTTTAGATTGAGTTCAAGTTCTCAAACCCACACCCTTCTGACCCAGAACTGAGGGAAACTGACGATTGGCCATACTGGAAACCATCAACAGATGGGCTCTTCCAAGCCTTGGCTCCTAGCCAGCCCGTGTGCCTAATACTCTCCAGAATTAGGTAAGCAAGATGCTTCTCTCCAGAAAAAGGGCATACATTTACTCCCCTTCACTCTCTGGCACCTACCTACCTCTCCGACCTCCTCACTCCCTCCGCTCAACAGACACCGGCCTCCTGCCCGTCCCTCGCAGCCCCCGCCCTATCATCAGCCACTACTCCCCGAAACTCTGGAATGCTCTCCCTCAATCTCTCGAGTGGGGCAGGTTTGGCATGAAAGAGGGCAGAGGGAAGTAGGAGGGCGGCTGAAGGCCTTGGTCAAAAAGGAGGGTCTTGAGTCGTGCCTTGAAGGTGGCAAGAGAGGGAGTGAGGGGAACGGATTGTGGGATGGAGTTCCAACGATTGGGGCCAGAGGCGGAAAGCCCGGCCGCCGATGGTAGTGGGGGGTCGGGTGGGAGACCTGGAGCCTGCTGAGCGGAGGGAGCGGACAGGTTGATAGGGAGTCAGCAGGTCAGAGATGTAGGAGGGGGCAAGGCCATGGAGGCCTTGAAAGTGAGGACGGGGATTTTGAACTCTGTCCTCTGGGGGATGGGGAGCCAGTGGAGTCGGGCGAGGGTGGGGGTGATGGGGTCGCGGAGCCTGGTGCGGGAGAGGACACGAGCTGCAGAGTTCTGGATGATCTGCAGCTTGTGAAGGGAAGTTTTGGGGAGGCCGACAAGCAGGGAGTGTCTGTAGTCGAGCCTCGAGGTGACAAATGCGTGTATGAGGGTTTCAGCGGCCTGAGGGGTGAGGCAGTGGCGGAGTTGGGTGATGTTGTGGAGGTGGGGAATGGCAGAGCGGGTCATAGCACGGATATGGGGGAGAAAGGACAGTTGAGGGTCGAACAAGACGCCCAGGTTCCTAACTGGCTCAGTGAGGTGGAGTGTGCAACTGTGGATGCTGATGCTGCCAATCAGGGGGGCCTCGGTCTTGCTGACATTTAGCTGTAGAAAGTTGGCTCTCACCATGACTTGATGTCAGACAAACAGTCTGTCAGGATGTCAGTGGTCCTGGAGTCGAGGGTGGAGGCAGAGAGAGAGTTGGGTGTCATTCGCATACATGTGGAAGTTGACCCAATGTTTGCGGATGACGTCACCAAGAGGGAGCATGTAGAGGTTGGAGAGGAGGGGACCGAGGATAGAGCCCCGAGGAACACCACACAAGACCACACGCGCAGGGACTGGAAGAGAAACCGTTGGCGGAGACAGATTGGAGGTGGTGTGAGAGATAAGACCTGGAGCATTCAAGGACAGAACCTTGAATGTTGAGGAGAGGCAGTGGAGGAGGATGGAATATTCCACAGTATGGAAGGCAGCAGAAAGGTCGAGGAGGACGAGGAGGCAGAGGGAGCCCTGGTCACAGATGGACAAAATGTTGTTTCTCACCATGACCAGAACAGTTTCCGTGCTGTGAGGGGATCGTGAAGGGAGTGGTAGGAGAGGAACGAGTGAAACTGGGAAACAACACCTCTTTCAAGGATCTTCAAAAGAAAAGGGAGGTTGGAGATGGGCTGGTAGTTGGAAGGCAGAGATGGATCCAGGGAAGATTTTTTCAGGATGGGGGATGATCGTAGCTGTTTTTAGGGGGATGGGAGGGATTGATGGTATCCGAAAGTGGAGGGGTGAGGAGGTGGAGCTGGGAGGTAAGGAGGAGGGTGGGGATGGGGGTCAAGGGAGCAGGTGGTGTGTTTCACGCTGGACATGGTGATGATGAGAGAGGAGGGGAAGACAAGGCTCGAAAATATGGAGGGAGGGATGGGCAGGGGTCAGAGTGCGGGAGGGGTGACGGGGAGGGAGTGGCGGTTGGGAGGGTGGAGGCAGCTGAACGGGACCCCTTGATTTCGGACTCGAAGAAATCCAGCATCTCCTCAGGAGAGAATGGGCGAGGGATGGGAGGGAGGAATGGAGGAGCCGGCTGATGGTTTGGTGGCGGTCGCTATATGAGTGCAAGTTGTCATTGTACATTCCATTCCAGACAAAGGGAAATTTCCATGTGTGGACGGTGTACGTATAGGGGACTATCGGTCTGGTTTGGATGCTCCGAAGCATGGTTTTTGTGTGTGTCAGACACCCTGGTGACGATAGAGAAAATCGCAGGAATTATTTCTGTATTTCCTCTATTACAGAATCTCCTTCCTCATATGGGCTCCCAGAGCTGAACACAATACTCCACAAGCCCAGGCCTCTATTTGACTCCTGCTGCCTTCCTTGCTGTTACATTCTACAACATCCGTGAGAAATATAATAATAACGATCCTCACATTTAACGTAGCGCCTTATCACATCGTTGAGACGTCTCAAAGAGCCGCACAGAATACACTGTCAAGTGAATTGACGGTATATTTTGTGGGCGAAGTGCGGCAGCCAATTGCGCACAGCAGCGTCCCGCAAACAGCCGTGGGTTGAGTGACTAAATTATTATGATTATTTTTTGGAAGGGATTATTACCTCTGTAAAAAGCGATCCGCAAATCAGCTAACAACCAGGTACCTACTTACCCGCTAGGTAAACAGAGGCTTGTGGAGTAAGGAAATGTTGCCCTGCCTAGGAATCGAACCCAAGTCCTCTCTCCACAGCCCGACTAGTCCAGGCCGGGGGGAGCTATCATTCACACTTATAAAGGACTAACGGTTACAGAGTTAGCATTGTATAACAACAACAACTTGCTTGTATTTATACAGCGTCCTCACACGGGGTAATATCTCGGAGCGCTTGACAGTGGTGGAGTCTGACCCCGAGCCAGGGGGAGAGGCAGGGGGGAGGTGACCGTAAGCATGACCAAAAAGGAAGGTCTTTAGGCAGGATTTTATGGTGGGGAGAGAGGGTGCGAGGCGGCGGGATTAAGGGAGCGAGTTCCATAGCGTTGGGGCGTAATGGCTGAAGGCACGGCCACCGATGGTGAAAGGGAGGGGACTAAGGAGCCAGCCGAGCGGAGGCAGCAGGTGGTGGAGTTGGGGGTAAGCAGGTCGGAGAGGTAGGGAGGTGCCAGGGCATGAAGTGATTTGAAAACGAGTCAGAGGATCTTGAAATCGATCCGTTCGATGATTGGGAGCCAGTGGAGCCTGGCGAGGACTGGGGTGATGGGGGGCAATTGTAAAATGGATATTGCAAACCACACATAAAAAACATTTATTGGTGAACACAAAATGACGTGGCATTAACCAGCTCTTAATGCTGTGTGTATCCAATCCCCCGGATCCCTGATCTCTGTCTGCGTTGCTTAAGAACATAAGAATTTGCTAGTTCCCCATCCTGGCTTGACATGTCGAAAATATTATTTTCTAGCAGAAATCTATCTAATTTGTTCTCTGTGACCTCCTAACCCCTACCAACGTGTCCGCTCCCTCTGCTCAGCGGGCTCCGGCCTGCTTCACGTCCCTCGCCCGGCCCGCCCCACCATTGGCAGGAGCCTCTCTGCCCCCACCCTCTAGAACTCCATCCCGCAGTCCCTCCATCTCGCCCCCTCCCTCGCCTCCTTCAAGACCCCCGTCTCAAGACCCTCGTCTTCAGACGTGCTTTCGGTCACCCTCCTACCCCTACCCTCCACCGCCCTCCACCCCTCCTGATCCCAACCACCAGTTCGGGTGCAGATCCCTGACTGTCCAGCGCCTGGGGACGTTCTCCTGACGTGAAAGGGGCCGTGTAAATGTAACATGCTGTTGCTTTGGGAGCCTGGACCACACGTTTACCATTCGCTCAGTGAAGTCGTGTCTCCACGGATTTGTTCTGAACTACTTCCCATAGTCCAATTCTTCCTTTCAGATGAGTGGAACACTGGAAACACTCCGCAAATGAACATGAGTTGTAATTTCACCAATGAGACTGGGAACACCCCATTGGTCACCATCTACTGCACGGTTCTGATCATCGGCGTCCCAGCAAACTTTCTGACTTTGTTTCTTACCATGATGCAAATCAAGAAGAAGAACGTGATGGCTGTCTACCTCTTCACCTTGTCTGTGTCAGACTTGTTGTACATGGCCACCATCCCTCAGTGGATCCGTTACGTGATGAACAATCATAAGTGGCAGGATTCCGAATTAGCCTGTAAGATAACGGGCTTCATTTTCTTCAACAACCTCTACGTCAGCATCCTCATCCTCTGCTGTATCTCGGTTGACCGGTACGTAGCGGTGGTTTACTCTCTGGAGTCACGGGGCCAGCGACGGCAGAAGAAAGCCTGGGCCATCTGTATCATCACCTGGCTGCTTGTCGTGATATCCCACATTCCTGTCTTCACCCTGAAAGAAGACAACGACAAAGGATCGTGCTTCGAAACCTTTCCGATGACCAATATGGTGGCCCGCTTAAGTTGTGCCCGGTTCTGTATTGGTTTTTTCATTCCCCTGATCACGCTCATTGCCACAAACATTAAGATGTTCCTGATTGTCAAGGCAAGCGGGAGTTTGACTGATAGACAGAAAAGCAAAGTGAGGTTTCTGACTATTTCTGTCATAGCCATCTTCTTGTTCTGTTTTGCCCCGTACCATTGCCTTCTCCTGGGTAGAGCTGCCGTTTCCTTCCTCAGCTATGAAGTGAGTTGCGCCTTCGAGAAAAAGATCCATTTCTTGTCCACGGTCTTTATCTGCCTGTGCACCGTAAACAGCGCCATCAACCCCATCCTCTATGTCTTTACCAGTGAAAACTGCAGACACGACCTACGCAGAGGGTTGAGATGTTTGAGGAACCCGTCTAACCATAGCAGCAGGTCCGAGACCATCACCCTGCGCAGATCCCAGAATTAAACCTCACCTGGTGATTTCTCCCCTGGGCGTAAAGTGATAGCGACCACTACGACAGCAGTGACACCCTCAGTGACTACAGTTCTATACCACAATATTTTGCACAGCACCTTGCAAGGTGGCTCACAGAGATTGCGGTGGCCAGGGGTTAGGGGGCGGGAGGTGAGGATTTCACTGCGGAGGTCATGAAACAGGCCAGAGTTTGCAGAGTGAAGGTAATGGGTGGTGGAGGTGGACACCAGAAGATAGCAGAAGTAGGATGGAGAAAGGCTGGAGGTGCATTTCGAGGCAAGGATGAGGATCTTAAAGTCAATTTAGTGGGTGCAGTAGGTCAGTGGCGCAGGGTGGAGAAGGGGAGGACTATTGGTTTGTGGAACCTCGTGTGAGAGAGATTGTGGGCTGAGGAGTTCTGGCTGTACTGGAGATTGTCTAGGGAGTAGTCGGGGAGGCCAGTGAGCAGGGGGTTGAAAAAATCTAGTCTGGAGGTACTGAAGGCATGGAAGAGGGTTTGAACTGCGCTGAGGTGAGGCAGGAATGGAGATGGGCGATGCTGTGGAGGTGCAGGAAAGCAGGCTTGATAAAGAACAGGAGACTCAGACGAGAGCCATTCTGCCCTCACTCTCTCCGGAACTACCTCACAGTCCCTCCGACTCGCTCCCTCATTCCCTCCCTCCCCTCGTTCAAGGCCCATCTAAAAAAAAAGCGTCCCTCTTCGAAAGCTGAGTCCGGTTGTGAAAGGTGCTGTGTAAATGTGAATTGTGTTGTGCTGTATTCGGCGCTGTATCGTGCCGTGATTGTAGGAATTCAGGTGAAAACCTTCTCAGGGAATCCGTCCTCTTGTGTTTGTCAGCCTGGCTGAGCTCAGGTGAATGTAGCTATGGAGAAATCATTGAATGGTACAGAGTATGTCACAGAAGGTAATGGCTGTACACTCAATCGCGCTGTCCCCCTCAACGGCCTGGTTTGAGTCCTACTTAACCAACCGCCATCATTTTGACTACGCAATGTTTCTTCCTCCCTCTCCCATCCCTCCCTGGCCAACTGCAGATACCCCGAGTCTCCATCCTCAGGCCCCTTCTTTTGTTTATTTACTTGCTATGTGGATGAAACACAAATCTACTTCTCCTCCAGCTGCAAGTCCAGGTTCTCTGACGTTCTGTTTAATAGGGCCCAGTGTGAAGGACGCTATATAAATGTGATTTGTTGTTGCTGCACTTGTCTATAGAGCACTGAACCTTGAGCCATGTAGAAATTTGTATCTGAAATTAAAAACTGCTGCATAAAACTTCATTTGCAATGTCCTTTTGTAGTTTTATATCAAATAAGAAGAATTGCATTCGATGCAGCACCTTATCAGGTCTTCGAGACGTCTCAAAGCGCTTCACAGGATAATAATAATAATAATCCTTGCACTTGATATAGCGCTTTTCACGTCAGGAGGACGTCCCAAAGCGCTTCACAGAACACACTGTAAAGTGAATTGACCGTGTATTTTGTGGGCGAAACGCGACAGCCACTTACTTGCGCACAGTGGCCCACAAACAGCCGTGGATCGAGTGATCAAATCATTTTTATTTATTTTGAAGGAATTAGTATCCCCGGAAAAGCGATCTGCCAATCGTTTAACAACCGGGTTCCTACTTACTGCTGGATAAACAGAGGCGTGTGGAGTAAGGAAACTTGCCCCAACTTTTCGCCCCCTGCCCGGGAATCGAACCCGGGTCCTCTCGCTTCCGAGGCGAGTGCTCTAACTACCGAGCTACAGCACTCCACACACGACTGACCACTGAACTACAGGACTCCATTGATGACACATGGAAACACCTGATTCCCTTCCCTTCCATCCCTCCCCTCTTCCAAGGTACCACTGCAAAACATACCCCTCTGCCTGTGATCATCTCTCCTCTCCTCACAGTCACTCCCACCCACGGTGTCGGGGCTCAGCTAGAACTGCCCACGTGAAAACTACTGCGTACATGTTTCAACTCTTCGAACAATGTTTCGGAGAAAAAGTACTCAAGACCGCTTTATGATGGACGGTGATAACACACCACAAAGGGATGTGTGTTTATGTGGTATCAGCTTGCAAAATGCCTTCAGACCTTCCAACAAAGGCACGGTATCGAGTGCTGGCCTTCAATAGGTCACTATCACTTAAGTCATCGCGCTCTATCTCAGCTGCGTTCATGTATATCTTTATGCATGTGCCGAACTCGCCACTCCTGATAACTCGTCACCGAGCCCCCACCCCCCTGCCACCCCCACCACCTTTCCCCCGGGGAAGAGACGAGTTATCAGGAATTTACCGTAATTCTCAAGCAGACCACGACCAATTCATCTGGGGGTGGATTGTTGGACAGGAGGTTTAGCTGAAGTACATTTGGCTGCTCGGGCAAGCAAACCACATGGGCCCCCACTGGAAGCCACATTAAACGAAGCTATGGAGCAAGACAATGTGGCTCCCTCGCACACCAGCTGTTGTGACGCTGTTTCGTTTACATGTGGTCACGCACTCACCACGGTTTGTCGCTACCAAACAAGCGAAGGTGAGAAACTTCACCTCTGCTTCTCCTACACTTTCTGGCACGCCCGTGCTTTTACGCTCCCTCCGCTCAGCGGGCTCCGGCCTGCTTCACACGTTCCCCCGCCTCGCCCGCCCCATTATTGGCGGGTAGGCCTTCTGCCACGTCCTCTGGAACTCCATCCCGCAGTCCCATCACCTTGCCCCCTCCCTTGCCCCCTTCAAGACCCGTCTCAAGACCCTCCAATCATCCTTCCCCTCCTGCCCTCCACCCACCCCGATCCCGATCCCCAGCTCGGGTCCGAAACCCTGATTGTCCAGCGCCTTGGGACGTCCTCCCGACGTGAAAGGCACTGTCCAAATATAATTTTGATGTTGTCGCTGTTGTTTACCCCACATGTGGGGCAGGCCTGCTAACTTGATGTACAAGATAATCGCTTCCACTGTAGTGACCGTTTTGGGTGGCAAAATCTCTCAAACGAGAGAACCCGGGTTCGATTCCCGGGCACGGGGATGAAATGTTGGGCAAGTTTCCTTACCCCACACGCCTCTGTTTACCTACCCAGCAGTAAGTACAAACCCGGTTGTTATTTGATTGGCGGATCGCTTTTCCGGGGGTAATAATCCTTTCAAAAAAAACTAACTTAACAATAATAATTATTTGGTCGCTCAATCCACGACCGTTTGTGGGGACGCTGCTGCGCGCAATTGTCTGCCGCATTTTGCCCACGAAATACACAGTCACTACACTTTACGGTATATTCTGTGAAGCGCTTTGAGACGTCTCGAAGACGTGATAAGGCGCTGTATCAAATGCAAGGACCGTCATCATTTTTATATCCTAGGTTAGGAGGTCCCAGATTCATTTAATCATCAGCGCTGATGTGTTCTCGTGCACTGCAGCCTCTCAAGAATAATTTTATTTTTTCCACTGTGCTCTCTCTCTCTCTCTCTCTCGCTCTCTCTGATGGTTGTGCCAGGTATCAGTAGTATCTGTGGTTTCCCACTGCCTCCCCGAAAATCCTGGTGGTCAACACTGACACTACGACTAAAATGTTTCCATTGCATTCAGCGTTGACCTAATTACAAAGGTGTGTGACATTAGTCAAGTACCATGGACCTGCCCGGGTCAGAAATAAACGTCTCACCAAAATATAAATTCACCGGAGTCCTGTACCGTAACGGTTAGAGCTCTCGTCTCGCGAGGCGAGAGGACCCGGGTTCGATTCCCGAACAGGGTGAAATGTTGGGCAAGTTTCCTTACTACACACACACACACGCTTACACACACACACACACACTCACACACACGCACTCTCACACACACACACACATATGCGCCTCTGTTTACCTGGCAGTAAATAGGAACCCATTTGTTAGTTGGTTGTCATATCACTTTCCCGGGAGTAATAATCCCTCCAAAAATATATATAAATAATAATATTGGTCACTTCAATCCACGGCTGTTTGTGGGACGCCGCTGTGCGCAATTGGCTGCCGCGTTCACCCACAAACTATACAGTCAATTCACTTTACAGTCTATTCTGCGAAGCGCTTTGAGGCGTCGAGAAAACGCGATAAGGCGCTGTATCAAATGCAAGGATTATTATTATTATTATTATTTATTTTGAAGGAATTATTATTCACCCCTGGAAAAACGATTCGTCAATCGGAAACTTGCCCAAGGTTTCGCCCACTGCCCTGGAATCAAACCCAGGTCTCTCGCGTGCGAGGCGAGTGCTCCAACCACTGAGCTACAGGACTCACAGTCTCCGTGGTGTCCAGGAATGTTTTCAGGCGGTAGCTGAAAATCCCTCGGTGCTATTCAAAAAGAGAAGTTTCTCTCTCCCAGTGTCCTGGCCAACAATCTCAGAGATAAATTGATCATTTGCTTCATGGCTCGTTGACGGCTGTTACGGAGAGCTTTGTTGTCCTGCTAACCCATACACAGCCACTACACAATTCCCTGTGATACGCTTTGACTAGACATTATTGTAGATAATAATAATAATAATCCTTGCATTTGATACAGCGCCTTATCACGTCTTCGAGACTTCTCAAAACCCTTCACAGACTGTACTGTAAAGTGAATTGAGTCTATATTTATGGGAGAAACGCGGCAGCCAATTGCGCACAGCAGCGTCCCACAAACAGCCGTGGATTGAAGTGACCAATATTATTACAGTTATTTTTTCTTGCAGGATAATTATTATCAGGAGTGTGGAGTAAGGAAACTTGCCAAGGAATCAAACCCAGTTCTCTCGCTTGCGAGGCGAGTGCTCTAACCACTGAGCTACAGGACTCACAGTCTCCGTGGGAAAATATTAACATGGATAGAAGAGTGGCTATCGGGTAGAAAGCAGAGAGTAGTGATAAACGGATCATTCTCGAATTGGCAGGATGTAACTAGTGGAGTGCCACAAGGATCAGTGCTCGGGCCTCAGCTATTTACCATTTACATCAATGATCTGGACGAGGAGAATGTAACGTATCTGAATTCGCGGATGATACTAAACTCGGTGGGAGAGTGAGCTCTCAGGATGATGCAAAAAGATTGCAACAAGATATAGATAGGCGCGGGGAGTGGGCGAGTAGGTGGCAGATGGAATTCATTGTTAGCAAGTGTGACATTATTCATCTCGATAGCAAGAATAAAAGAACAGATTATTTTCTGGAAGGGGAGAAGTTAGATAGTGTTAGTATTCAAAGGGATTTGGGTGTCCTTGTACACCAGTCCCAAAAAGTTAGTTTGCAGGTGCAGCAGCAACTAAGAAGGCGAACGGCATGTGAGCGTTCATTTCAAAAGGTTTAGAATATAAGAGTAGGGAAGTCTTGCTGCAACTGTATAGGGCTTTGGTGAGACCGCACCGAGAGTATTGTGTGCAGGTTTGGTCTCCTTATTTAAAAAAGGACATACTTGCCCTCGAGGGGGTGCAGCGTAGATTCACTCGGTTAGTTCCTGGGATGAGGGGACTGACCTATGAGGAGAGGCTGAATAAACTAGGGCTGTATTCTCTAGAGTACAGAAGAATTAGGGGAGATCTTATTGAAACTTATAAGATTCTTAAAGGGCTGATAAAGTAGACACTGAGGGACTGTTTCCCCTGGTAGGAGAATCTATAACCAGGGGTCACAGTCTTAAAATTAAGGGTCAGCCTTTTAGAACAGAGTTGAGGAAACATTTCTTCACTCAGAGGGTAGTGAACTTATGGAATTCACTCCCCCAGAAGGCTGTAGATGCTCAGTCCTTGAACATTTTCAAGGCTGAGACTGATAGATTCTTGAAAAATAGAGGGATTAGGGGATATGGGGATAGGGCAGGTAATCAGAGTTAGGTGAGAAGATCAGCCATGATCTTATTGAATGGCGGAGCAAGCACGAAGGGCCGAAAGGTCTACTCCTGCTCCTAATTCTTATGTTCTTATGAGCTACAGGATAACACAAGTGCAGGCGGAGCTTATGATAAGATGCTTTAGTAAAGAATATCTTTGACCCTTTGATGTGTCTGAAATTCAACCTCAGATTCCCTCCCATGTCTTGAATCCCCTCTGATTCTGTTCCGGGTTCACCGGTTAAACTTTAGACAGTTTACTTGGTGATACGATCTCACTGTGAGTCGTGTATCTATGGGAAGTTGGATCCAAATAGATACAGCTCTGGTTTCCTGTCGTTGCATGACAAACCTATCAAACTTCTGCTAGAGGTGTGCAAATGCGCATGTAAATAAATTTCACCTTCTGATGCATTGGGGCCCACATTTAGAGTGATACGAGTTTCGGGGCCTGGTGGCTGAAGGCGCGGCCACCGACGGTGGAGCCTTGTGATAAATGTATTGAGGTCATGTTGGAACCAGCCTAGGAGTGTTGGAGAGACAGTCTGGTCAAATGCCCTCCTCTCCGGTCTCCCCAGTTCCATCATCCACACAATCCAGCTGATCCAAATCTCTGCCACCCACATACTCACCCGCACTAAACTCTGTGACCCCATCACACCAGTTCTATCCAGGCTTCATTGCCTCCCCATCGTCACACCAATCAATTTCAAGATTCTCGTACCACTATCCGCTGTTGATGGCGGTGTTGTTCACGTCTCCAGTTCCCCACTCGGCCTATCCCTTTGCTCCTCTGAAACCTTCCCCTCCTTCGAGCACCTAACCCTTTATTATCCCTCCGAGCTCTCCCTCAAAATTCTCCTTGTCTATCGCGCACCCCCCCCCTCTTAAAAACCCTCCCTCAACCTTCCTCTCGGACATCTTGGATCATTACTTCATCTCCCTGAACACCTCTATCCCCCTCCCCACCACTCAACCCATCTCTATCTCCTGCACCCTTCGAAAAAAATCTCCCCCCTTTCTCCGCTGCCCTGGAATCATCCGAACTCCTGTCCCTCTGGCCCTCCTCTCACAATGACCTACCCTCCTTGCCCTCTTTTCTCCACAACTCCCTCTCCTCCATTCTTGATTCCCTTGCCATCCTCATCTCCTGAACTGCCTCTGACGTCCGTAAATGCCCCTGGTACACCAGCCATCTCCGATCCCTCAAGGCCACCAAACGCACCTGGACCAAATCAAAGGTCCATCGGCCGATCTGGTTTGACCACAGTAAGACCTACCTCTCCACCCTCGCCTTCGCCAAATCATCCTTTTACTCCAAGAGAATCTTGGAGGCCAAGGACAACCCACGGCTCCTCTTCCCCACCACTGACCTCCTCCTCCAACCACCTTCCCGCGCCTCGTCCATCCTCTCCTCCAATTCCAACTGCCACGAGTTGTTAGACTTTCTCAAATCCAAAATCGAGAGGGTTTATTCGGCTTCCTCTCCCCCGCCCACCACCTCCCCGTCACCACCTCCCCCTCACTACCTCCCCCTCACCACCTCTCCCTCACGCCGGACTCCACCCATCCCTCCCTATACACCTTCGACCCTGTCTCCCGCTTTTCCGTTGCCTCCATTATCCTAAAAATGAAGCCCACCCACCTGCTCCCTCGACCTCATCCCCACCCCTCTCCTCATCTCCCAGCTCCACCTCCTGACTCTTCTTTACCTGACATTAGCAACCCTTGCTTATCACTGGCGCTGTTCCCAGACCCCCCTAACAATAGCTGTCATCACCCCCATCCTCAAAACATCTTCCCTGGATCCATCTCCAACCGCCCTTTCCTCTCCAAGACCCTGGAATGTGACTTTGCTTCCCAGCTTCACTCTTTTCTCTCCCGCCCTTCCCTCTCTGAACCCCTCCAATCAGGTATCCGTGCTGCCCACAGCACAGAAACAGCCCTGGTCAAAGTCACTATCAACATCCTGAACATCTGTGACCAGGGCTCTCTCTGCTTCCTTGTCCTCCTCCACCTCTCTGCTGCCTTTGACACTGTTGCCTGGCTCCACTGGGTGCTCATCACTCAAAGGATACAGTTCAAGATTCTGGTCCTCACCTGCAAAGCCCTCCATGACCTTACTCCTCCTTCTGGGTCCTCCTAACCCTCTACCAACCTGTCCGCACCCTCTGCTCAGTGGGCTCCAGTCTGATTCACGTCCCCTGCCTAGCTCACTCCATCATTGGCAGTCAGGCCTTCAGCCTCTTTGCCTCCATCTTCTGGACTTCCATCCCACAATCCCTCCGCCTCGCCCCTTCCCTTGCCTCCTTCAAAACCCGTCTCAGAATCCTCCTCTTCGACCGTGCCTTCGGTCACCCTGCTATCCCTAGCCTCTCCGCCCTCCAACCCCTCCAACCCCTCCTGATCGGGTCCAAATTCCTGACTGTTCAGTCTTGGGACGTCCTCCTGACGTGAAAGGCGCCGTGTAAATGTCATTTGTTGTTGTTGTTTTCAAATCCCTTCATGCCCTGGCACCACCCTACCTCTCCGACCTGCTCACTCCCCAACCCACCCACCCGTTGCCAGCGCTCGACTGCATCCAGCCTCCTGCATGTCCCTCTCTTGCCCTCTGTTCCACCATCGGTGGCCGCACTCTCAGCCACTACGCCCCCAAGCACTCTTCCTCTATCCCTTTGCCTTACCCCTTCTTTCCCCATCTGCGGATCGCCCTGAAGACCTTACTCTTCAACTGTGCCTAAGGTCACCTCCCACCAGCCTGGCGTCTTACTGTCAAGTGCTCTGGGACGCTACCCTGAACGAGGGGTGTCATATGCAAGTTGCAAGTTGTCGCTGTTGTTGTAGCAGTGGAAGGAACTTTACTCTGTCTCTAACTCGTGTTGCAGCTGACCAGGGATTACTTGATGGGAGAGCATTCTCTGTATGTGACCTACGCTATAACTAACCTATGAGTATGGCAGACAGTGGGAAAGTGGAAAGTGGAAATTTGTACCATTCTCAAAATTCACACTGACTAACATATTTTAAGAACAATAAGGGGAGCTTCCCTCTGGGTATAGATGTTCCACAGAGATGTTCAAGTGCGGATGGTGTACATAGAACTCTCAGTTTATTGTGGTTAATAATAATCATAAATCCTTGCATTTGATAGAGCCCCTTATCACGTGTTCGAGACGTAACAAAGCACTTCACGGGATACACCATCAAGCGAGTTGACTGTATATTTTGCGGGCGAAACGCGGCAGCCGATTGCGCACAGCAGCGTCCTCACAAACAGCCGTGGATTGAATGAGCAAATTCCGATCTAACATGAGTAGGTACTCTGAAGCGCGGTCCCGGGATTCTCCCCAGCTGAGCGCAAAAAAANGAGTGCCACACTCATCGCGTGAAAGTTTTTAAAGCGCTTCTCCCAGGACTCTCTGAGCTGACTCAGCCTCACGGACCGTAAACCGCAGTAACTGCTCACAAAGAAAGGAATTTTCTTTCAGACCTGAATTTATTCACGGACTTGATAAGCGGAGTGAGTCGGACGTGCCTGAGTTTGCCCAGAGCTCGGTCGGTTTGGCTCAGTAATGCACCGCGGTGATGTCCTTTTGCGGAGCGAGGATGGCTCCCAGCCCGGTCCGCGCTCTTGCTCACTCCATTACCATTTGGGTTGTCGCTGACGCCAACTTCGGTTTCCTTCTTCGGCCGAGGAGGAAGGAAAAGGGCAGCATGTCATCACGCACCGACTCGCTGACAAAGCAGTACAGCACGGGGTCTGACAGACAGTTCAGGGTGGTCAGAGCCACAGACAGTTTGTATGCCTTGAAGATGGACCGAGCGAAGCAGCAGTCATCCGGTTCTCTCACGCTCCTGACCAGGAGCACGGCGTGGTAAGGGGCGAAGCACAGCACGAACGACAGGGTGATGCTCAACATCAGCTTCTTGGCTCGCCTCTTCTCGTGGGCCCTGGTGGCCCTGTTGCCCCGGATGGCGTTGCAGATCCCGCGGTGGAAGGCGAGGAGCAGGACCAGCGGGAAGACGAACCCGAAGGCCACGTGGACGTAGTTCAGGTGCGCTTTCCACCGCTCGAGCGGGTAGATGTCGTAGCACAGCACGTGCATGTTATCGTCAATGTACGTCTCGTCCTTGATCAGCAGGAGAACGTGGGTCGCCGACTGGAAGACCCACACGACGAGGCTGATCACCACCGCGGCCCGGACTGTGCGGATCTGCAGGAATCTCAAAGGGTAAACCACGCCCAGGAACCGGACGAAGGAGATGCAACAGAGGAACCCAGCGCTCGCATACAGGTTGGTGTACGTCAGGAAGGAACAGATCTTACACAGGACAATCCCCGCCCGCCAGTTATCGTCAGAGAGCGAAAAGTCTATCCACAGCGGCAGCGTCAACGTGTAGAGGAGGTCAGCCAGAGACAGGTTGAAGAGGTAGACCCCGAGCTCGGTTCTACGTTGCACTTGTCTAATGGCTGCGCAGAGGGCCAGGCTGTTCAGCGGGAAGCTCAGGCAGAAGATGGTGGTGTAGACAATGGGGAAAAACCAAGAGTCCATGGAATGGTCCAGGTGGCACTTGGTTCCGTTAGTGCAGTTCATTGCGAGGCAACGAGAGAAGCGGAGAAGAGGGGTTGAGGGGGGGTGGGGGTGCGGGGGGCTGTATTGAAGAGGCGAGTGAGAGCCGGAGAGGGGGAGTGGAGAGAGAAACGGAGGTTAATGATAAGGAAGGGGAGAAGAGAGAGCGAGAGAGAGAGAGAGAGGAGAGAAGAGAGAGAGATGAGCAGAGGTAGGGAGGGGTTGGGGAGACAGCAGAGATAGGTGGGGAGGTGACAATGGAGGTAGAGAGGGGGAGAGAGTGATGGAGATGGAAGTAATGATTTGCACCCAACGAGACAGACAAGAAAAGATTGTTCTTACCCTCGCTAATTTGTGACAATGGAAGTAGTTAACTTTCTTCCTCGTAGCCTGCCCCCCCCCCCGCCCCCACCCCTCTTGGGCTCCTCCTATACGTTCTCCTTCGACCTATAAAGTTGCTTTGTGACCTTCCAAAACCACTGATCCACTTCTGATGGGTGGAGCATTGCGTCGACCGCAGTTGAAGCGTTGAACCCGGTCTCTCTCTCTCTCTCTCTCTCTCTGTGTAATAAACGTGTGGTTTTATAGAACTTCCTGCTTTCATTTTGGATGTTCAGAAATATTTCACGCTCTGTTTTGTCTGGGAAGCAAGAGCCAGCTCTCTTGCCTTTCCAAAGTACCTCTCTGCCTTCGTTACCACAGGTGATGAGAACCAGGACAAGTCCCTGGCAAAGGGTTTCCAACACAATTCTGTTAAACACCTCTCACGATCCAGATTGCTCGGTTTGTGTTTAGACACCATTTGCTGAGCTCCTCTTCTGCTTCTGGACAGAACAGCTCAATGCTTGTTCCTCTCTGAGTTTCAAGAATCTGAGCGTCTTGTTCGACTTTCAACTGACCTTTCTCCCCCATGTCCGTGCCATGACCCGCTCTGCCTTCCCCCCCACCTCCGCGACATCGCCCTGACTCCGTCACTGCCTCACCCCTCAGGCCGCAGAGACCCTCATCCATGCTTTCATCACCTCGAGGCTCGACTACACTAACTCCCTTCTTGTCGGTCTTCCCAACCCCTCCCTCCACAAGCCCCAAATCATCCAGAACTCTGCAGCTCGTGTCGTCTCCCGCACCGGGACCGTGACCCCATCACTCCCACCCTCGCCCGACTCCACCGGCTCGCCATCCCTCAGAGGATAGAGATCAAAATCCTCGTCCTCACTTTCAAGGCCTCCATGGCCTTGCCCCCTCCTACATCGCTGACCTGCTGACCCCCTATCGACCTGTCCACTCCCTCCGCTCAGCAGGCTCCAGCCTACTCCAGGTCTCCCGCCCGATCCCCCCCTACCATCGGCAGCCGGGCTTTCAGCCTCTCTGCCCACACGCTTTGGAACTCCAATCCCACAATCCCTTCCCCTCGCTCCCTCTCTTGCCTCATTCAAGGCACAACTCAGGACAGCCGAGCCTTCAGCAACATCCTACCCCCTCTGCCCTCCATCATCCCAACCCTGCCCCCCACCCCACCCATGCTCGGGTCTTGATTAATGGAATCTTGTTGTTGTTGTTGTTGATCCCCGACTGTTCAATGCCTCGGGACATCCTCCTGACGTGAATGGCACTTTAAAAATGTAATGTTTTTGTTGTTGTTGAAGACAGAACGAGACTGTTATTTTTCTAATCCCTGACCTCGGGCTCTGTTGTCTGATTGCTCTTTTGGTGGATACTTTCACCGTTTGTTGGCTTGTATTTTAAAAACCCTTATTATCGATGTTTCAAACAATTGTCCAATTAATAATAAATATTCATAATCCCTAATATTGAGATATAACATCAAAACATCTCACAGCACTTGACAGAGAATTGCTGTTGAACTGTAGGCAAACACACAAGGTATTTGAGCACAGCAAAGTCCATGAAATGTTTAGCTTAATTATTTGGAGGATTGTTAATATTATTAATTATTTTAATAATAATACCTGCATTTGATATATCAAGAGCGTTTCAGTATTGCGAAAGTATTTTGTAGGAGAACATGGCAGTGAATTTGTGCATGAACAAGGACTTCCAAACAGCTATGAAGAAAATGACCAATTTTATCTGGTGTATTGTCGCCCAGGACAACAAGAGAAACTTCCCTCTCTTTTCAAACAGTCTACGAGATCTTTAACACCCATTGGAACAGACAGTTGAGACCTCAGTTTAACGTCTCCAGCCCTGCACTGCAGAGGTCAGCTTAGATGATAATCACCTTGATAAGGAGCGATGTCAACTGCAACGATTATTATTATTATCACGTCTTCGAGACGTCTCAAAGCGCTTCACAGGATTTACCGTAAAGTGAATTGACTGTTTATTTTTGTGGGCGAAACGCGGCAGCCGATTGAACACAGCAGTCGTGGTTTGAGTGACCAAATTATTATTATTATTTTTTTTTTGGAAGGGAATATTAACCAAAGTGATCTGCCAATTGACTAACAACCAGGTTCCTACTCGCTGCTGGGTAAACAGAGGCGTGTGGAGTAAGGAATTGAAACCAGGTCCTCTCTCATGCGAGACGAGTGCTCTAACCACTGAGCTGCAGGACTAGTCAGATATGAGAGCACTAAGGACTCAGCCAAGTTAATGCATCTCTTGATCTTTCGATCATATTTTTCAATTTCTAATATATCCATAACTTCTATTTCTACCTGCTGCTGCTTTGCGTATCTCCATTGCCCATCTCCCCAATATTTTGTAGCCGAACAACGTAGCTAATTTATGCTCCTTTGAATAATCCAGTCGACTAGAATAAATTTGACTGTAGTTCATCAACAAACCCTTGAATATTTTCCAGGAAATGTTGGCAGAACTCCCAACAATATTGGAAAATTTACGTGTGGTCCTCTACCTCTGCCCAAGGACGCTTTCTTTTGATATATATTATCTATATTTATATCTATATCTATATATATCTACACACACCTGGGGAGGGGGAGGAGCCAGGGGAGGGGGAGGAGCCAGGGGAGGAGCCAGGGGAGGGGGAGGAGCCAGGGGAGGAGCCAGGGGAGGGGGAGGAGCCAGGGGAGGAGCCAGGGGAGGGGGAGGAAGGTGACCAAAGGTGCGGTCGAAAAGAAAGGTCTTCAGCAGAGACCTGAAAATAGGAAGAGAGGGGATGAGGCGAAGGGAGTGAGGAAGGGAGTTCCAGAGCCTCGGAGCATAGTGATGAAGGCACGGCCGCTGGGGGTGGAACGGAGGACTCGGGGGACAAGGAGGAGGCCAGACCCGGAAGAACGAAGGCAACGGGTACTGTTTTGGTAACCGGATGAGAGTGGGAGGAGAAGCCGTTTGTGCAGATGTACTGCTGGCGGTTTGTGAGGTAGGATTTGAACCAGGCGAGTGCGCTCCCACTGAGGTGGTTGACGGAGGAAAGGCGGTGGAGGAGGATGGCGTGATCGACTGTGTCGAACGCGGCGGAGAGGTCCAGGAGGACAAGGAGGCAGAGGGAGCCCTGGTCACAGATAGAGAGGATGTCGTTTGTGACTTTCACAAGCGCAGTCTCTGTACTGTGGGCGGAAACCGGACTGGAGGGGTTCGAAGAAGGAGTGGGAGGAGAGGTGTGCGCGGAGTTGGTTGGCAACAATGCATTCTAGGACTTTGGCGAGGAAGGGCAGGTTAGAAATAGGGCGTTAGTGGCTGGGGTTTGAGGGATCTAGGGAGGGTTTTTTGAGGAGGGGAATGATGACAGCAGTTTTGAGGGGGGCAGGGACTGATCCAGAGGAGAGGGACTGGTTAATGACTTCAGCCAGTAGTGGACAGAGGAGTGGGAGCTGGGTGACCAGCAAGTTGGTGGGGAGGGGGTCGAGGCAGCAGATAGTGGGTTTCATGGAGGTGATGGTGGGTGAGAGGGATGAGGGAGAGATGGGGAGGAAGGAATGTAGGATGGTGGTAGGAGCAGATTGTGGGGAGGGTGAGGGGAGCGGAGAGGGGGTGGTGATGGGTGACAAGAGGCAGGTGGATGAGGCTGCCTGGCGGATGTTGTGTATTTTAGAGCAAACGAAGTCCATGACCTCCTCGCACTTGGCATTTGATATGAAGATTGAAGGGCCTGAGGGGAGGCACGGAGGAGGTAGTGGGTGGTGGAAGAAAGGACTTTGGGATTGTTTTTGGCCTCCAAGATGATGTTGGAGTAGAAGGCCGTTTTCGCGCGTGTCAAAGAACGGCAGTAGCTGTGCAGATGCTCGAGCCACAGTTGGTGGTGAACTGTCAGGCCAGTTTTTCCGCCATCTGCACTCGAGCAGCCAGGTTTGGGTTTTTTGTCGGTGGAGATGATTGTTGTACCAAGAGGATCGGGTGGGTTTGGAGATGGTCCTGGATTTCAGGGGGACGAGGGAGTTGAAAGTTGAGGAAAAAAGATCATGGAGCAGCTGGACGGCTGCTTCAGGATCTCCGCGGGCGGAAGGCCAGAGGGATAGGATGTTTGAGGATGTGAGGGCCTTTTTTGAGGGTCTCAGGGGGTAGCCTTTTAAACGGGCGGTCGAGTATGGGAACGTCTCAAAGACATGATAAGGCACCATATCAAATGCAAGGATTATCATTATTATCTATCTATATATGTATGTGTATGATAAGGTCACCCCAAAATGATTGTCTGCTATTTATTTTGTGAAGAATGGTAAGTGTACAGTGATGAAAAACATACACAGGATACTTTTATAGATCTGAGCCCTGGTGTGAAAGTTTTTGTTCACTTCTATCTGGATGCAGCTCAAAATGGTGCGTAGCACATGTTAAGCAGAGAGCAGTAATTACAGGCCTCATAGTTGAGCTGATTTCACTGAATCAGGTTCACCGTCGCATGATGTAAGTGTATCGACGCTGAAAGACGCTGAGGAAACTCGAGAATATCAGAGAAACTGATTTTCAGAAAGATCCTGCAGTGGGCGTTCTAAAACAGCTGATAATGACGAGATTAGGCAGAAAGCTGACGAACTGTTACTCAAAGATCATTCAGCGTGTCAGAGTGAGAGTCTCAGTGTTGGTTATCATGCTATCGAGATGATTATTAGTACCTTGATTACTCCAAAGTTTGTGCAAGTTGATTCTGCCAATGTTAACTGTATTTCAAAAGGAAACCAGAAAGGCCACATTAGTGGACTTCCTATAGCTCAGTGGTTAGAGCACTCATCTCGCAAGAGGGTTCGATTCCTGGTCAGGGTGAAATGTAGGGCAAGTTACCTTACCCCACACGCCACTGTTTACACTGCAGTAAGTAGGAACCCGGTTGTTAGTCGATTGGCAGATCGCTTTTGGGGAGTTATTTTAGACGTCCGCCGGGCATTTTTGAATGAAAAAATATAAAAGAGGTGAACTGGGGACATCAAGCGACTTAGTAGCCGGTTAACAAGAAAAGAATCTTTGAAGCTTCCCCAAGTGACAGACCTCTGGACTCGCCCACCCACAGAAGCATTTTCTTGTCATCTGCCTTATCAGAACCTCTTATCATGAGAGGCTGACTCACTAAAGTGTAATACGATCCACTTACCATGAGCATCAGTGCATCTCTGAAGCTGGGCTGTAAAGTCTGGGTGTAAAGCACATTTGTCCTTTTGATCTCTGCGCTAAGGCATAACAAAACACAGCCAAAGCAGGGTGAATGGCAGGCCTTTCTGCCCATCAAGCCTGGAACTTCTACAAAACCCAATTGCACCCTCCGCTGTTTTAAATCAAACCCGTCTGCTGCTAATGAAGAGAAAGGGGAAGAAAAAAAATATCTGCACAGGAAGTAAGAATACAACTTTTTTTAATAGGGTTTGGACTAATGATCGGGCTACAAAATAACATGATCCCACAGCCAAACACGGTCTGGTTGTTGTCGTGCGGTGACCTGACTATTCTTTGACAGTTTGGGTCGGGTGGTGTGATGTTGGTACAATGATAACATCGCGGCAGAGCTCAGAGAGCAAGGCGGTTGTTTGACATGAACCCACATTACAATGATACATTCATAAATACTGCAGCAATGATGAACCACGCAGCCCAACTAGGTCTCATCTTTAACCCCCATTTTTTGCTGCTCTTTTCCCATCACTGCTTCCCCAACGTTCCACTGGTCCTTACGCCCCTCACTGGAGCTCTCTACTCTAACCCCATTCCCTGCTCTCTCCGCATCAACACCAACAATAACAAAATTATATTTATGGAACGCCTTTCATGTTGGGAGGACGTCCCAAGGCGCTGGACAGGACCTGAGAATGGGGTGGGGGGGTGGTGGGGTCGGGGTGAGGGAAGGCACGATCGAAGAGGAGGGTCTTGAGACTGGCCTTGAAGGAGGCAAAGAAGGAAGTGAGGCGAAGGGACCATGGGATGGACTTCCAGAGCGTTGGGGCAGAGAGGCTGAAAGCCCGGCCACCGATGGTAGGGCGGGTCGTGCGGGAGACATGGAGCAGCCGGAGCCCAATAAACGGAGGGAGCGGGCGGGTTGGTAGGGAGTCAGCAGGTCAGAGAGGGAGGAGGGGGCAAGGCCATGGGTGGCCTTAAAGGTGAGAACGAGGATCTTGAACTCGATCCTCTGGGGGATGGGGAGCCGGTGGAGTCGGGCGAGGGTGGGAGGGTCTGTGCTGGGGCTCGCGCCACCACTGGAGCTCTCTACTCTAAAAAAAAATTCCCCGCTCTCTCTCTCTCTCTCTCTCTCTCTCTCTCCCCATCATGCCTGTGCTGGTGCTCGCTCCCCCAGCCTGTAAATGTTGACCATTATGCCCAGAGCATATACCATGACTACTTTCCAGTTATTTCCCTCCATAAAAACAGTATTTGCGAGTAGTGCACAAGAGAGACATTTTCCCCACAAAATATTCGAATTTTGCACCAACTTCGGCAAGTTTCCTTACCCCACACGCCCCGGTTTACCCAGCAGTAAGTAGGAACCCGGTTGTTAGTCGATCGGCGGGTCGCTTTTCCGGGGGGTAATAAATCCTTCAAAAAAATTTTTTTTTAAAAAATAATAATAATGTGGTCACTCAAACCACGACTGTCTGTGGGACGCTGCTGTGCGCAATTGGCTGCAGCGTTATATCGACATGATATACAGTCAATTCTCTTTTAACCCGGGCTGGGGGGTTGGCATCAGGAGGGGGTGGAGGGCAGGGAGGGGTTGGGTGGTGGGGGGGTGTTGGAGAGTGACCGAAGGTGCGGCCGAAAAGGAGAGGAGGCTCTTGAAAAGAAAAGAAAATCTCTGGGTTCCTCACCAGCCCTTATTTACTGTGCATTCGGATGCGATTTTGGTTTGAATTTTCTTGTCAAAGCATCCCAGAGATTGATAGAGTTACAACCCCTGGGCGAGGAGATAGGAGATAGTTCCTCCAACTCCCTCACTCCCCTTAATTAAAGGCACATCTCTAAACGTAACACTTTGACCAATTTGATCCCCAATTTGGTTGTCCATCCCGGTTTCTCAAGCGCTGGGAGGTGAAAGGCGCTGTGTAAATGTGAATTTGGATTGTATAGTGTGGCCACCTCACATTGGAGGTCAAAGAAATCTGCAACGCAGAAGGAGGCCATTCGGCCCGTTGAGTCTGCACCAGCTCTCAGGAACTGGAAGCAGGTTTTGCCGACCTACAAAATCTCTACTCCAGATTTAGATCAAAGTGGGAATGGAGTTCCTGCGATTTGGGAACCTGAGCTTATTGTTAAATAACTCCATTGTCGTGTATTAGACCTCTTTAATATGTCATTTGCGCTCCGCAAACTGTCCCGAATGTTTCAACATAAGGATGCAATCTATAGCTCAGTGGTTAGAGCACTCACCTCGCAAGCGAGAGACCTGGGTTTGATTCCCAGGCAGGGGGCGAAATGTTGGGAAACAACAACAACAACAACAACATGGGAAAGTTTCCTTACTCCATACACACGCCTCTGTTTACCCCGTTGTTAGGAACCCGGTTGTTAGTCGATTCGTAGATCGCTTTCCGGGGGTAATAACCCCTTCAAAAAAAATATTAATCATTTGGTCACTCAATCCACAACTATTTGTGGGACGCTGCTGTGCGCAATTGGCTGCCGCGTTTGGCCCGCAAAATACACAGTCACTTCACTTTACAGTCTATCCCGTGAAGCGCTTTGAGACGTCTCGAAGACGTGCTAAGGCGTTATATCAAATGCAAGGATTCTTACGATTATTATTATTATTATTAATTTCACCTAAATCAGGAGATCTCAAGCGACCCAGTTAATGCTCTCCCTCGTTCTGGGGTCTGGTTCGAAATATTTCTCAATAGGATTCCCGTCAACTTGAAGAGCATCTCGATTTGGAGTGAGGTAGAATTGAGAGCAACTTGCTCTTGAAGGACCTGACCAAGTTCAGAACGTCCTGTTTGGCGGCTTTGCAGAGTAGGCAGTAGAGAAGGGGGTCGGCAGCGGAATTGACACCCGTAATCGCGAAGGAGACCTTGTAGAAGATGTACACCCTCTGGGCAAAGACACAGTTGCCCGACTCGGCAAGGCATCGGGTCAGCATTATCACCTGGTAAGGTCCCACGCTGACAAAATACACCAAGATCAGGATGAGGAGAAGTTTCCCAATCTTACTCTTCTCGCTGTCCAGGGTGCTGACGCTGTGCTTGACCGCGTTAAAGATGCGCTGGGAGGAGAACAGCATCAGGATGAGGGGGAGGCAGAAACCACTGATGAAACGGACAGTGTACTCCAACACCATGGGCTGGGGCATGGGAATGGTGTCCTCATAGACCTTCAAGGTGTAAAAGCTGGAGAATGCGTTGTGGCTGACCAGCAGCAGGGTGTGGCAGACCAGCTCCGCAGCCCAGCAGATGCCGCTGACGAGAAAGGCCGTGCGGACCGTCCTCAAGCTGGGGTACTTGAGCGGGTGAGCCACAGCCAGGTAACGGTCCACCGAGATGCAGCAGAGGAAGGCAGGGCTCAGGTACATGGTGGTGAACATCAGGATGTTCAAGCCGTTGTGGAGAGCCACATTCGCCGATCGCTCGGTCAGATAACACCAGAACCAGTACAGGATGGTGAGCGTGTACACGAGATCAGCCACCGACAGGTTTAGCAGGTACACGCCAATCTCGTTGTCCCGGGCTATGTGCGTACACGCCACGTAGATGGACAGGCAGTTCCCCGGCAGGCTGACAACCAGCACCAACATGTACAGGATGGGAACCAGGACGCTTTCCACCCTGGTGTCTATCGGGCAGCTGGCGTTACCGCCCGTCACGTTAAGATCCATCCCGAGCCGCGCGGACTCCGACTCGACCTGTCGTCGAACCCAAAGGGCAGACGTTTTAATGGTCTCCCCCTCATTCCTTTACTTCACCCAAACCCCAACCCCCGCCCACCCCACCACCCCCCAAACTCCCTGCCCTGAGCCTCAAAGGCCCGCGTATGAATTCAGGTTAATCTCACTTCGAGGTTGTAAGGGAGAACTTTGGTTACGGCGCCCAGGGGGGAATGTCAGCCAGGGATATATACAAATTTCTCAAGTGGCAACGTCCAAAGAACTTCCTCTTCGACCATGCCTCAGGCAATTTTCCTTACTCCACACTTGCCTTTCTCTGTTTCCCTAGCGGTAAGTAAGTCGGAAACCCCCGGTTGTTAGTCGATTGACGGATCGCTTTCCCAGAAGTAATCATCCCGTCAAAATAAATACAAATAATTTGGTGACTCAGTCCACGACTGTTTGTGGGGACGCTGCCGTGCGCAATTGGCTGCTGCATTTCCCCCACAAGACACACAGTCACTCCACTTTACGGGGTATCCTGTGAAGCGCTTTGAGACGTCTGGAAGACGTGATAAGATGCCGTGTCAAATACAAAGGATTATTATTATTATTATTGTTAACTAACTGCTCAGGTGAGAGACAGAAGGAGTAGAGTTTTCCATACCTGGGTAGTGATTACGAATGGCTGTGAGATGCCACAGGAGGGTTCGGGCTCAGGCACGATGGGCCGAATGGCCTCCTTCTGTGCTGTAGAACTCTACGGTTCAAACGGAGTCACTGCAGGTTCCTGCTCGTCACTGTGAGCTTTTGTCTCGAGACTCTTTTCAACTGGTTATGTATCTTCTCAGTGCGTCAACAGTTACTGGCTGTTATTCAAATAAGAAAAATTATTAATTACCTGTCACAGCGTATTAATTGGAAGAGATAACCTGCCACGGAGCCTTGAATTACATCATGGTAAATGTTCTGTGATTGTATCTTTAGGCAAATGTGGCAGCCCGACCTGTACAAAGCGAGGTATTGTACTCGAAGCGGCAATGGGTGACCAATTTTATCTGGGGAATTTTAGTTAAGACACGAAGAGTAGACTCACCACCAGAAACTGGTCAAAGCACCGAGGAAACTAAACATCAACAACAATAACACCAACAAAATTACATTTATAGAGCGCCTTTCACGTCGGGAGGACATCCAAAGGCGCTGATATTCCATAGAGGGTAATGGTGTAGAGGTTTAAGAGGTTCGGAGGCTGATGTGCGTGGAGTCCTGTAGCTCAGTGGTTAGAGCCCTCGCCTCGCAAAGCAAGCGAGAGCACCCGGGTTCGATTCCCGGGCAGGGGGCGAAATGTTGGGCAAGTTTCCTTACTCCACACACACACACACACACACGCCTCTGTTTACCAGCAGTGTGCAGGAACTTAGTAATTGGTTGTTAGTCAATTGGTGGATCGCTTTCCAGGGTGTAATAATACCTTAAAAAAACATGGGGTCACTCCGTCCAAGCCTCTTTGTGGGATACTGCCCTGCCGCGTTTCATCCGCAAAACATACAGTCACTACACTTTACAGTGTATTCAGCGAAGCGCTTTGAGACGTCTCGAGAGATGTGATAAGGCGCTGTGTCAAATGCAAGGATTGTTATTTTTTATGATTATAAACACCGGTACGGGCTAGTGAACGAGAATAACCTCAGAGGCAAAAGGGGTCGGGGACACCAAATTACATTTGTAAGGTTCCTTTCATATCAGGAGGACTCCCCAAGGCCCTGGACAATCAGGGGTTAGGGCCTGAGTGGGTGTGAGGGCGGTGGGGGAAGGGGATGTGGGGGTGTGTGGGGGAATGTGGGGGGAGTGGGATCAGAGAGGGTGGAGGGTAGGAGGGCGGTCAAAGAAGACGGTCTTGAGACCTGCCTTGAAGGAGGTGAGGGAGGGGGGCGAGGCGAAGGGAATGCAGACTGTGGGATGGGGTTCCAAAGGGTAGGGGGCAGAGAAGCTGATGGTGGGGGTGGGCCAGGCTGTGCCAGGTGGGAGCAGGCCTGGAGCCCGCTGAGTGTAGTGAGCGGACAGGACGATTGAGCAGGCCACTGAGGTAGGGAGGGGGTGGCGCGAGGCCATGGAGGGCTTTGAAGGCGAGGGCGAGGATTTTGAACTCAATCCTCTGGGGGATGGGGAGCCAATGGAGCCGGGTGAGGGTGGGTGGGGGTGATGGGGGTGGGGTGTCACGGAGCCTGGTGCAGGAGAGGACACGAGCTGCAGAGTTCTGGATGATCAAGCGAGGTCGCGTCCCAGAGCGCTTGACAGTGGCGGAGCCTGACCCCGAGCCAGGGGGAGAGGGAGTGGGTGGGGCGGGTGTGGGTGTGTGTGTGGAGGTGACCGTAAGCACCATCAAAAGGAAGGTCTTTAGGTGGGACTTGAAGGTGGGGAGGGAGGGAGGGAGGGAGGGAGCAAGGTGGAGAGATTGAGGGAGAGAGGTCCACAGAGTTTGGGGGAGTCGTAGCTGAAGGCCACGGCTAATCAGTAGCACTTTGTGACTTTAGGTACTCCCGGGAAGTGCTCTCGGAAGTCGTGTGACGCGCTATTTCTTTGCCCGCCCCAACATTCTCGTGGCCCCCCTGAACGACGAACCAACACTTTTTTTGTCGCTCAAGCAGAGGCCCGGCACGTGCTGGAGGTTGTTCCAACCAGACAGCGTTTCCACCGCGTCGGGGACGCTGCCGCGCGCAATCGGCTGCCGCGTTTCGCCCGCAAAATTCACAGTAACTACGCTTTGCAGTGGTATCCTGCGAAGGGCTTCGAGACGTCTCGAAGACGTGATAAGCAGCTGTGTCAAATGCCAGGAGTATTATTCTGATTATATTGTTGTTGGTATTATTATTATTATTATTATTATTATTATTATTATTATTATTATTATTATGTGCAGTCACAAATTGCAGCGTTAGCGCCCTCTAGTGGAGCAGACAAGTAAGTGCCGGGTTGTGGCAAACCAGCTCAAGCCGATGGAAACTATTTCAAATTTAATTCAAAAAAAATCATGTGCCGTATTTCTTATCGGACAACAATTCACGTTGATTTAATGTATTTCCGGGCTGGACTGCTCCCATGTTCCTCCTCACTGGTCTCCCCAGCTCCACTGTACACAAAATTCAGCTCACTCAGAACTCACCCGTTGCGCAAAACTCCGCACCCCCATCACCTCCCAACCTCTCCGACCTGCTTACCCCCCCACCCCCCCCCCCCACCCCCCACCCCCACTCCACCACCTCTACTCGACTGGCTCTGGCCTCCTGTTTGTCCCTTGCCCCCTCCACTCCACCGCCAGTGGCCGTAGCCGTGGGTTGAAGTGACCAAATTCTTGTTGATTTTCTATTGGGATTATTTTCCCCGGAAAAGCCATCTGCCAGTTGACTAACAGCCGGGGTTCCTACTCGCTGCTGTAGGCGAACAGAGGCGTGCGTGCGGAGTAAGGAAACTTGCTGAACTTTTCGCCTCCTGTCTGGTGAATTAAACCCAGATCCTCTCGCTTGTGAGAGTCAAATCAGAGGGCAGGAAGTGAGTGCTGTAACCACTGAGCTACAGGACTCCACTTCTCAGTAATCCGATATTTTATCATTCAGTAAACTTGCGATTGGCTGCTTTTACTTCACCATGAAATGATCATGAGGAACCTGTCACGGCGGCCGTGGCTTTCAATCGCAAAGCCCACAGCCGAGGGCGAGGAATAAATTGGAAATTCCGCAGACCAGCCACAGAAAGGACAGAGCCAGGTGGCTCATTTGTGTCGGAAGGTAGCGGCGTTCCAGTCAACTAGATCTCTGGATATGGCGTAAAATGCTACGATCCAAAAAAGGGGGTGTATTTTGAGGGTTGGGTTAAAAATGCATCTTTTTTTTAATTCCGGGTGATTCATTCCTATCCTTTTCTGCGTCGTTTGGCCCGAAATTTGGTTAATTTGACTCGTAAGTTAGTCCTAACCGGAGTTAACAACACAGCGCCTGTCGCTCTGGGTAGAGCACATGACTCCGAGCTGGTGACCGTAAGCACGGTCCAGGAGGGAGGTCTTCAGGCATAACCTGAAAATGCAGAAGGAAGGGGCAGAGGAAGAGGAGGGATAGAGGAAGCGGGTTGCAGTGTTTTGGGGCTTAGTGGCTGAAAGCGTTACCACCGATGGTGGAACAGAGGGCAATCAGAAGTCTGGAGCCGGTCGGGTGGAGGCAGTGGGTTTGTAGGATAAGTGGGTAAGTCAGTAGTTAAATCAGGTTATCGGCAATGAATGTGGGCAACAATGCAGAGGAGACTGCTATTGTAGGGAAAATGAACCACTGTATCGAGCTGTAAACCCTCCGAGACCTAAAATGTGAGGAGAGTTGGGCAGCCCTGGTTAATGTGGGCGCTGTGCAAACTGAAGCTTTACACGTTTAAACCACATCATTTCGGGCTTGCGATAACCACCACAGACTCCCGTCAGTCAGTCACTCACTCCCACAGAACCCTGTGTCGAAATAATCTTTTGGGGAAGTCGGTACAGTCCTGTCTGAATCTGTTGCTAAGCTATTGCTACTACTACTGCTAATAATAATGATAATAATCTTCGAGACGTCTCAAAGCACTTCTCAGAATATATTGGAAAGCGTAGCGATTTTGTGGGCGAAACGCGGCAGCCAATTGCGCACAGCGGCGTCCCACGAACAGCCGAGGGTCGAGTGACCGAATTTTTAAAATTTATTTTGAAGGAATCAGCAACTGATTCCCAGGAACCACATCCCAGGGAAGGGTAAAATCAGGGAGAATTGCGTTTATATTAAATTTACCACTTGCACGCGATCTGGTGTTGATAACGTCAAAACATCTCTCAGCACCTCAGAAGTTATTATTATTAAAGATTATTATTTTTAAATCAGGAGGCGGTGGAAAGTGTAGTGGAAATCTGGTAATCTCTCAACCTGAAAGGCTGTGGATTCTGGATCCATTTAAATTTTCCAAGACTGAGGTGGATAGATATTTATTAGTGG